GAGAAGTTTAGAGTTAGGATTATTTAAGCTAGCCTTGATATTGATCATTCTTCTACTAAAGTAAGGGGATAGATAAGGAATAGATCCCACCTCTCCTTAAAGAATCTTCTTTTTTTACTCTTAATCTAAATAGAAATTTTCAATTGAGTCTAGTTCTCCAAATTATTAATAATAGAATAGTTAATCTCAACTTCTTAATAGAGTTTTTTAGTTTTAGGTTTATTTTTTAGAAAATGTTTTTTAATTTTATGTTAATTTTAATAATTTAGATAAAAAGTACTTGTTCTTCAATCTGTCAACAATTAAAACCTGATATCATACAAATTAATGTTTTATCTCAAAGATGGAAAAACTTGTGGATATATACAAGCAGATTCAGCTTTGATGATGCACAGCTGGTTTATAATTGATTGCCAAGCAAGAGGGGCTGAGACTAGGTATGTTGACTAGGTTAACCATATCTTGGAATCATATCAAGATACAAAGATAGATGAATTCGTATGAAGGATGAATCAAAGGAAACAAATCTCAGAGAACAAAAAAGGAAGGAAATAGATATGGCAAGAAAGGAAACAAATATTAGAGAAAAACCACTTAATTCAAAGCACTATCTAAGAAATAACTAAGGCAACGGTCATATGCATAAGTTTAGGCATGTATTTAGGATCTGAATATGTACTGTAAATTATATATACCGATTCCATTGTATACAAACCTTAAGTTGAATACAATACGGTGTTCCTTACAATTCTCTTGAATTCTTTAATTCAAAGTTTGCCATAACGTGAACGTGGGAGATTCTAACAGTGATATTGATAGCTAGATCACATTTTCCCTTGGAAAGAGAGTAAAAGGGTTGCATTTGGATTTTACAACCTTTCACAAGATTTCTCAACAAGGAAAGTACAAGCCACTACATATCCCCATGCCCCTCCCACTCCTCAGTTCTCTCTCTCTCTCACACGCTGACTTACCATGATTTATGTGTTTCAATTTCAGAATTTGCTGCAGAACAAGGGGGCTTATCTGTTGATGTAATAAAGCGGGCATTTAGTGCAACTGAACAAGAGTTTCTGAATTTGGTGAAGCAAGCTCTTCCAGTGAGACCTCAAATTGCCTCTGTTGGATCATGTTGTCTGGTTGGTGCTATTTCAAATGATGTACTATATGTGGCAAATCTTGGTGACTCAAGAGCAGTTCTTGGGCGGAGAGTTTCTGAGGATAAGAAGAATAAGGTGGTGGCAGAACGGCTGTCAACAGATCACAACGTTGGAGTAGAGGAGGTGAGAAAGGAGGTTGAGGAACTCCATCCTGATGATTCACAAATTGTGGTCTACACCCGTGGAGTTTGGAGGATTAAAGGCATAATTCAGGTAAAGTTCTCAATAAAGTCAACCATGAAAATATTGTATTGGGAACAGTGATATACTTGCTTCATTAATACAAAATCTATGCCTCATACACTTGCATGTTTTCTCTGTGTTTAACCTTTCATTCTCAACATGTGACTGGAGTTTAAAAATCCAAGAGTAAATATAACAATTAAAACTGTCTAATCTGCCTGTATTAATTGTATATTATGCATAATTATAGAACCTATTCCTTATTATGGTACATTATTATACTTTTATAATAATTGACAAGAGCATAATTGTTTTAATGTTTTTGTTTTAACGTTTTATTAAGCTCAGTGCTCTAAATCTTCTTTTTATTTTTGCTAAATGGAGAATACATATATGTCCATACTTTTCCTTATGATGTAATTTGCTCTAATAGGGGTTTGTATCTTCTATACTTTTTCTGGAATCTGCTCTGGATACCATCTCATGCAGTTACCTGTCAAGTATTTTGTCTTCACTCTTGAGATGACCCCATAAAGCATAGGGCAGAACCTAAGTACCTAAAGCGAATCTCTCTTTTTTCTTTTTTCTTTTATTTTTTTTCTCTTTTCTTTTCTTTCCTTTCTGTTCTAGTTCTCATTTGTTGATTTCTTTCTTAATGTATCAGGCATATGCAGTTTTACATGTTTACATCTATGAATTGAGAGAATAAGATGTGGTGTCTATTCTCTGTTGATGTAACACTAGATATAATAGAGCATGTGATTAATGATGCTTTTCTAAAGAGTTCTAGTTTCTTGTTTCAGGTGTCCAGATCTATAGGGGATGTTTACTTGAAGAAACCTGAATTTTATAGAGATCCAATCTTTCAGCAATTTGGAAACCCTGTTCCTCTGAAAAGACCTGTAATATCAGCTGAACCCTCTATCATTATCAGAAAACTCAAGCCACAGGACCTTTTCCTGATCTTTGCATCAGATGGCCTCTGGGAGCAGTTGAGTGATGAAACTGCTGTGGAGATTGTATTGAAAAACCCAAGAGCGGTGGGTAATTCATCTCTGTCTTAAAAAGTGACATTAGCCTTTTCAAATTTTTACTGCAGTTTTAGTTTCAAGTTAGGCAATTTGATCCATCCAATTTTTCTCAGGGCAGAGCTAACCCCATATGGTGGCATGATTGTCTTATTTTGTTTAGCATCTTCATAATTATATTAAAAATGGACACATGGTTATCTTCCAAAGTATTAAATTTGGTCCTAGCCGTGTAGAACAATTTAAAGTACTTTTGTAGTTGGGGTTGAATACAAAGATACTGAACTTTTTCTACTTGCAGGGAATTGCTAAGAGATTGGTAAGAGCAGCGCTCCAGGAGGTTGCAAGGAAGAGAGAGATAAGATATGATGATATAAAGAAGATAGAGAAGGGACCAAGGCGTTATTTTCATGACGATATCACTGTGGTTGTAATTTATCTTGATCAACAGAAAGGCTCTGGAAGCAACAATAGATCTAAACAGAACAATACTGTTGGCTGCACCACGGCACCTGTTGACGTTTATTCCTTTAATGCAGACGAAGCAGCAGAAGAGGATGTGTTTGACATAATTGCCTGAAAACAACATAACCCATTAGAGAGTAACAAGCTGACTTGTTCAAGTGATGTTATCATACATGTCATGTATTGCCTAAATGATGCTGGGATTGATTCTTGGTACGGTTTGTCAGAAGTTATAGTTGGTCTACGTAATCAAGTCACTAAAGAATAGGTGGATGCCGATGGAAGCAGGCTGCAACAGGATTTCCAAGTGAGGGTCTACCCCTACATCGTCTCACATTTGTTGATTCTTGATTCTGCATTATTTCGGTTGATATTAGTGAACCCCATAAAGCAAAATCTCCAATTTTT